TATATATATATATATATATATATATATATATATATATATATATATTACATATATACCATATATTGAAAATCTATAAAAGTCAAATAATTTTCTCTCTCCATTTTTATTATAGAGGATCTTGATATAGAGCATCTCTAAGAAAATCTATCTGGAAAATTCATAATGGCTAATGGATAATTCATTATGTTTGCATCAAAAGAGAGTGTCTTTTTTAAGCAAGAATAAAAGTAAAATGTTCGCGGTAATATTAAGGAGACGCCAAAGTGGATGAAAAACTTTAAGAATGCAAACAGAGGCGATTACTAACATGTCAGATAAAATGACTAACATTATCACGCTTTCATATTTCTTGTACATATAAATCTTCTATGAATGTTGCTTTATTTCGCCATATTTAGGAGAAAACCTAACCATGCATACTTAAGTATCTTTCTACAAACTTTTCGAATAATTTTAAGCTTCTAAATTGTAAATGTACAGCAATGTTCCTTAAGATTTTAAGAGTTCCTTAAGACTGAAGAGAACAAACACATGTACTGTACAAACTACAAAACTTTTGTATCAGGCAAATATTTACGCCAAGTAACAGTTCGATATTCCAATTTTGAGATTTTCTATGAAAAAGTCAGCATTTTGTCGGTAAAGTTTTCAAATGTGACATCCACTTAATAGCATGTATTGCCATTGAGGATGAGTGTTTCAAGGGCTTCTAAGTAATGTGTCTAGAGGAAGCCATTGTCTTAAGCAACCACTCTGTGATGTGACAGGTGTTCATAAATAAATCTACTTAAACCATTATATCAATTGATATTTTTCTATAGCTGTAATCTTTGCACTGGCAATGCCAAGCAAAATACTTGAAAAGCTTGGCATTGCCAGTGCAAAGCGTTAGAGATAGAGAACTGCGACATATATCCGCGATCGATACGTAAGGAAAGCAAATTTCATATCAACCTTGGCTTTTGCCGACTTCTCGATTGCCTCTTATTTCATGACCTCTCGTATTATGCCGCCATCGACATAGGTCTCGAGCAGCTTCCGTGCCACTTTCATGAAAGAACCTCTTGTCTTAAGTATTTACATGAAAGATTCTAGGAGTATTTCCCTCCCCCCTCCGAGACGAGCGTGAGCGAGATGTATCCTTGAGACGATGTCTCCTTAGAACTTCGAAGGACCAAAGCTTCGTGATCGAAAGGCCATAAAATTGGATCTATATCCTTCGGGATGCTTACAATTGCATTGCTAGAAAAAACTCTATAAATATCCCGAAGACAAATAATACAAAAATACAATTCTCCATTGATCTCTAAAAACCCAATCTTGTCAGTTACAGTCCAAAGTATATAGGTCATATTTTATCGGAGACTGTAATATCAGAGACGCGAGATTTTCCTTGTTTTAATTCGTGACTGTACAAAATTTACCACACACATATATACACACAAATATATCATCAAGCTCCAGCTGTACTAATATTATAAATTTCCGCAACGACATCCAAAACGATGACGATGCAATTTGTTCGGAGAAGAATTCCGTCGGTTTTGCGCGCAAAATGTAACAGGCGAACGTTATATATAGCCCCGTCGTAATTACCCGCAGCCACCCCCAGCAGCGCGGTTTCTGCGTGTATTCAGTATCGTCGTGCGTCTCCCCGCCCTCGCACAACGGCTCCCCTAATAAACCCTCTCGACCCTGTGCGCCGTAACTATTACTCAGAATTTATGGCAGATCGCGATAATTAATAGAGCCGCGATAGAAACGGCGGTTTGCGCACGAAGAGCTATCTCGCGCTTCTGGTATTGGAGCGGCATGGCGGACAGGACGCAGACGTGTCGCTTGGAAATTCCATATGCATGAGAATGACGGTACACTGGATATGTCCGGGTGTCGCGTCCGGCGTCTTCGGAACGTGAGCTACGGCCGTGAACGTGTCCGCGACCTTTCGACTTTTGTCACCCGGCTCGAGATAGACAATAATGAATCATAATGCGGCACGATGTGGACACCGGCTAATGCGATAGCAGAAGTAACGTTGCACCATACTTCAATCGTATCTCGATAGCAATACGAGGGTGGTCTGAAAAGTTTCCGACCTCAACGTGAAGATAGCAGCACTTGTAAATAAAAGCTAGTGAATTTCGTTGTTCATCTGTTGACAGTTACTCACCGAAGTTTCAGCCATTTTGGACTCGCAGTTGTTATGTAACAGTCGTTTGAGTAAGTTGATGTGAGTGTTTTTGTGAAAATGGACAAAATCGAGTATCGAGCTGTCATTAAATATTTGTTTT